CGCTCCCCGCCCCTCCCCCATCCAAGTCGGCAGCAAGTACTCCAAACACAGCCCATCTGCCACCCCAGCTCCACCCGACCATCCACCACCCAGGGACACCTCGGCTGCCACCCGTGCCCCTCTCCTCCTGAGGTCCTCCAAGGTCCGAGGTCGTCACCAGGTCCTCTGGAAGCATAGCTTTCTGGCTCCCACTCATGCCTTTCTCAAACTCCATTCCAGCCACGCTGACCTTGGAGCTCCCCGGACACACCGGGCCCCTCCCTGCCTCGGGCTCCTTGCATCAGCTGCCCTCCCCCGCCCCCGCCCCCCGACTCCTGCCTGGACGTTCTCCCCCCAGACTGCTGGACAGATGGCTCCTTCTTGTCATTCAGGCCTCGGCTCAAATGCCACTTCTGCAGTAAAGGTTCCTCTAAAGGCGCCTCCCAGGCCCTCCCGGTGACATCACATAGCTGCCTGAAGCTTTCGCATTAATTTGTTTGTTTGTTGGGCCTGCGTGGAAGCTCTGGGATCAGGGGACCTTGTGTGTCTCGCTCCCTGCCACAGCCCAATGCTTGGAACAGTGCCTGGCATGGAGCAGGTGCTCAATTATTGTTTGTCGAATAACTGAATGATCTTTGTTTGATCAGTAAACTCAAATGTGCCCAGAAAATAAGAAAATGGCAGAAAGCCTGGGGACCACTGGATTAGGTGAGCCCAAGGCCCCTTACTGCTCTGTAGGGCTGCCCCTGTGGTCAGTTCTTTCAGGCCATCACCGGCTTGCCCACCCCAGCCCCAAGAGGATCCTAACTCTAATAGAGGCAGAGGCAAAAATGGTTTAACTCACAATATGGCCAGGGGGGCCGGGTCTTCCCTGAGGTCCCATGGCACCAGGCTCACCCTATAGGAGCCAGAAAAAAAAAAAAAGAAAGCAATACAGAAACAGACTTACACACACGGGGTTGTTATTGGGAAGGAGGCTGAGCAGAGCAGGTAGGACACCGATAGAGGAGCTGAGCTGGGTCCTGGCCTCCAGGCCCACGCTTTCTGGGGCCCGAGGGCCAGCCCTGCCCACGATTATTGTTGGAGACAGATGTCAGAGCCCCCAGCCTGAGAAGGCCAGGCCTTGCTTTTTAGGTGAGTGATCCAACAGCCTGCAGGGAGGGGAACCAGTTGCAGGAGGAAGGAGGAGGCGAAGGCGTGTATCTTGGGGCAAAACCTCCCCCAGAAGGCCCAGGAGGGAAGGCAGCCCCTTGGCCAGTAAGTCTTGGACTCAGCAGAGCCCCAAAGGCTGCCCGAAGGCAGCACGTATGGACCTCAGCCCTTACCTCTGCTCCTGGCCGGCCACTGCTGCCTGGGGGCCCTGGTTTCCCACAGTCACCCTGCAAGAGAGAGGGCCAGCTGGAACTCGACAGACCTCTACTTGGCTCCCCCAGCCCCAAGGCGACCCCACATCCGAGGAGTCCTGCCCCCTGCCCAGACTCTGGCCAGCAGCCCTCGGATGCTCTCGGGCTGGTGGACGGCAGAGCCTGACCCGATCCTCTAGGCCCCCGTGGTCTCAGGAGGCTTGGATGCTGGGATGGCGTCTCAGCCCACTGGTGCCAGGCTGCCATGTCTGCCTGGGGTCAGGCCTTGGGTATGGCCGTGAACACCTGCTTGGCAGAAGTCTCCAGGCCCTTCCTTACCTTCGGTCCTGGGAGGCCAGGGTGTCCCGTTTTTCCCTTGAAGCCCTGGAAGGAAAAGTGGGAGGCTGCCACGGCCCTCGCCTCAAGCAGAGGCGACTTCCCTTGCCTCCTCCCGCAGGTTGAAGGAATCAGACCCACCCAAAGTCACAACCTGGTCCCCAGCGGATCTGGATTCGGGCTGCCCACCCTCTAAGGCAGAGCCCGCACCCGTCAGCTTTGGGACCTCCCCGCTCCCAACTCCTTCCTGCAGCTCAACTTACCGGGGGTCCCATGAGTCCGGGAGGGCCAGTGGGGCCAGGGTCCCCCTGTGGAAGAGACCAGGGGCATTGAGACAGGACGAGCACACATTTCCCACTGTCTTCCCTCTCGGCAGCCCCTCCCCCGGCTATCCCAGGGTGGAGGGAATGTCATGGGAGGCAGAGGGAAGAATCCAAGCTGGGCTTGGTCTCTGACTGGCTGTGGACCCTGAGTGAATCCCAGCCCTCTCTGAGCCCCGATTTTCCTTCTTTAGGGTACAGAAGGGGGTTGACTCTGATGCTCTGCCCTTTGCCATGTCGCATCCCTTTCACATTCCCCAGCAGCACCAGACCCAGGGATCCAGGGCTGCTCAGGTCCTGCCAGGTCTGCGGCCTGTTTTTCTGACACCCGGCTTGGTATCTTTAGTATCCTGAATTTCTGGATATAAACCCACCCCCCTCACTGCCTGCCTTTGGTGAGACCCGGCTCATCCAACCTGGTTAAGGCTACCAGAAGAACCAAGGAACCAAGGCCTCCGGTGCCATCAGAGAAGGGGGGTGTGGCCAGGAGCAGGTGGAGGGAAGGCAGGGGTGTGGGGGGAGGGGATTCCGTTTCCTTCATCGGGGTTCCATTGACTTTGGCTCTTGGAGGAGGAAAGAGAAGGGAAAGGGTGCCCATCCTCTCACCCTCAAGCCAGGCTTGCCATCCTTCCCATCCAGACCATCCAGGCCGGCAGGGCCCTAAAAACAGGAAAAAGGAATGTGTGGAGGCCTGCCAGAGCCCCAGGAGGTAAGATACCTGACCCAGCCCCTCCACCCTGTCCACCGCTCACCCAGCTCCCACCCGGATTAGACACACACACATGCAGGCACGCATACACACGCATGCACGCCGCACGTACCTGGCAGGCCACGGGGACACACACTCACCTGGATCCCAGGCGATCCTGGTGGCCCAGGGGGACCAGGCATGCCTGGTGGGCCTCGGATGCCTTCACTGCCCTGGAAAGGAGCCGACCCCCACAACACAGTCAGCAGGGCCTTGCCCACCACCACCCCCCACCAAGCCCCCACCCCCGGGGGATGAGGCCCTAGGCGCCGGGTTCTGATGATTACTGAAAGTCAAGACCGCTGGTTTCCAGCCCCAGTTCTGCTGGATGTATTCCACACCACTCCCCCGGAAGGATCTGTCTTTGTCTGCAAAGCATCCCTCTTTCTGTACTGTGATATGAGGAAGGGACAGAGCCTTTTCGGTCTAGCACCTTCCTCAGGGTTGACCCAGGGACTGGCACAGTGGGTGTGCAGGAACGTGTACTGACTGAAGGCATACATTCAGCGCGCGACGGTCCCCACAAAGTGCCAAGCACTATATAGCCTCTGATTCTTCCCTGTCCTCAAGGAGCTCACGGTCCAGCTCGGAAGAGGGGGCCGCTCACTCTGGCCAGGGGTCAGGGAGAGTGTCACAGAAGCGTCACCAGATGCTAGACTCTGAAGGATAGGTGGGATTCGGGCAAGTGGACAAGTAGAAAAGAGCCTGCCGGAGGGAACTTCAGAGAACGATGCAGATTTGGAAGTGGTCACATGCCTGGCCTGGCCAGGATGTCTGGGGAGCCAGTGTGACAGGAGGGGTGGGAGGCAAGCCTGGAGGCTCTAGGGAGAGCCTGACGGGGGGTGTGCCCGGAACACCGTGCCAGAGTCTATCCGACAGACCAGTGCTTTTCACACTGTACTCCTCAGAGCCCTGGGGGTTCCTGGAGGAGCGTCAGAGATGGGGGCACAAAGCGGGAGCCCAGAGGGTGGGACCCAAGACCCTTGCTCCCGCCTCAGTCAGAGCAGCTCCACTCATATCTGATTGAGAGTTCACGGGAGCTTCTGTGTGATGACAGGGCTCAGGAACTTCAACATAAAGTCTGGGAACCACTGCGACAGGCACTGGGGAGCCACTGATGGTTCAAAGCAGGGGAGTGATAAGAACCAAGGTGTGAGCTAGAATGTTCACGGGAGAAGGGAGGAGGCAAGCAGCTTGGTGTGGAGGGCTGCTGGGTACCCCAGGGGAGAGAGGGTAGCTGCCCTGGAGCAGTGGCTGTGGAACTGGCCAAGGGGAAATGATCTAGCTAGAGACACCCCTCACCCTCCCATGGGGGGGGGGGGGGGGGGGGGGGAGGAAAGCCCCCCGTGGCATTGCAATGCCATCGGCTACCAGGAGGGGTCAGCACAGCCCCAGAAAATGTCAGTCCCACAGGGAGTCGGGACAGAGAACCACTGGCCAGAGGTTTGGGATTCTCTGCAGTGACCAGCCTAAGGAGAGCAAGCAGTGCTGGGGGTACAGAGCCAGCATGGAGGGCTCTGGCAGGGGCTCCCACTGAGAAGGGAGGTGACACCCACCACCGCCTCTAACGCGGCTGATAGGCACGCTGGCTCTGGGGAGGCGGGGAGGCGCCTGGGGGCTCACCTGGGCTGGGAGAGAAGTCTCAGCTCTGTTGCTATTTTGCTGTGTGCCCCTGGGGCGCCCCTAACCTCTCTGAGCCTCGTTTCCTCACCGGGACAGTGAGAAGTTAGACCAAGGTGGCCCTTTCAGCGGTCCCTTCTAGCTCTGAGAGCTGTGCGGTGTGTTTTCAGAGGAAAGAGGCTCTGTCTGAGGTTGTAGGCCTCTTGCCTCTCCCTTTGGGTCATAAACGCCCCACCCCACCCCAAGCTTAGAAGTCAGTTTGGGGCCTCATAACACTACCCAGCCATCACATTTGGGGAGCCCAAGGGTTGGGCGGAGACAGGAGTGCCAGCCCCCAGGCCACGGCAGAGCTAGTCTCCAAACCCAGGGCAGCCAGTGCAGGGGCTTCCCAGGCTGCTGTCCTTCTGACCCTTGTCATCAGCTCATAGGCCATGCCTGGCCCCCCTGGGCCCCTGGGGACAATCTGAGCATGCTTCCTTCCTGCTGTTGTCAGACCCAGAAGGCAAATGGCCAAGCTGCTCTGGCTTCAGGACTGTGGGGTTTCCAGTCTGGATGTGCTCCCCTCCTTCGCTCAGCTCCTCCCCCTCCCCCTTGAGTCCCCGCCTCTGACTACACCCCCTGCCTCATCCCCACCAGGCAGGGACTCTGGCAGCACAAAGGCCAGCGGGTATCCTGGGCTTGGGGGCCACTGGTCTGTTGCCCAGAGGCAGCTGATGAGCCGAGGCTGGAGATCTCTCTCCCCACCCTTGACGTAACTGAGCCACTCCTTGAATTTCCAGAGGGCCGGTAGTGGGGGTGGATCGGGGTGTGGGAACTGCATGGCTCAGATCTGCGGCGGCGGCCACCTCACCTTGGGGTCCTGCTCACCTTCTCCGCTTGTGGGCCGGGGGGGCCAGGTGCTCCAGCTTTGCCCGGGAATCCAGGAGGACCCTGTATCAACAAAGGAGCAGGCGAGGATGAGAGTGGGGCTTGGGGCGGGGGGAGATCTCCTTCCTTCTTCCACCTGGGTCTGCTTCACTGTGGTTAATGCGATGCATTCTGACTTCCTAGAAACACCACCCAGGAGCAGTACTGCTGGCTGGCCTGCTGGTCCTGGGCCCACCCAGGAGGCTCTGCCCTCCAGGTCCCGGCTCCTGGAATCAGGCCTGGCCACCCAGGCCGTTCCTCCCGTGCCTCTTCCCTCTCCTCCCCAGGCCCATCCTCGCCCAGCCTGGCCTGGTCAGGCCTACCCCTCCCAAACAGGATCACATCAGACAGAACTGGCTTTGTGTCTCCACTCACCGGTGGGCCGGGAAAGCCTGGCTGGCCTTGAAATCCCTAGAGGAAGAAGCGAGGGACAGTTTGCTGAGCCGCCCACTCCCTCCCGCCTGGCTGCCCAAATGGAAAGAGTGACAGGGTGAGGCTGCCTCGAGCCATGGGGCCTTGCCCTCCTCTCTGCCCAAGATGACCGGCAGGTGAAACTCGAGCCATGAGCTGGGAGGTTGCAATACAAGGGCGGGTGAGGGCTGGAGGCTAGAGCTGGTCACCCCTCCACACGTGAGGGTGGCCATCAGGGAGAGGACCCAGCCTCTGGGACCCCTTCCCTGTGCCCACCCCCACCCCCCAAGCCATCCCTCATGGTCAGGACAGCCAGCCAGGTCCTGTGGTCACTCACCTGGTCGCCCTTCTCTCCCGAATTCCCTTGGGGTCCTCGCTCTCCTCGGGGACCCTGTCGCCACAGAGAACAATGAAGCTAGGACCCAGTCTTTCTGCCCTTAGACCCCAGGGCTGGACCAGGACCAGGGGGCCCCATGTCCACTCTCCCGTCTCCTCCTTTACTCACTGCTGGGCCTGGGGGACCTGGGAGGCCTTCAGATCCTGGTGGGCCCTGGGGACACAAAGGAGCGGAATCAGTCACTCTGACTAGGGTAAGTGGGAGATCAAGGGGACGGGGCAGGGGACAGGGCAGAGAGTAGATGCAGGGGATGTGGTGGGAGGTCCCTCCAAGCTGTCGGGACACTTCCCCCTGGTTCGCCCCGACTTCCTTTCTCTTGCCTGACCTATCGAACCAGTCTTCTAACTAGTCCTGCCACCTCCTGGCTCATGTCAATCCAGCCAGCAACTGGCTGCCATCTTTTCTTCTCCAACATAGTTCCGATTATAACACTCTTCTTGCTCCAAAACCTTCCATGGCTCCCCTCTGTCCCACTGAATGAAGTGCCCAATTTCCACCAGTGCTGGGTTTTGAGGCATCCTGTGATCTGGCACCAACCACCCTTTCCTGCTTCACTTCCCTCTCCCTGTCTTATTTTCTGCCTTGCTTGGTCAGACCGCTGTTCTCTAAACATACTCTATACATTCATACCCCTGGGCCTTTGCACAGCTGTCTCCTCTACCTAGAATGCCTGCCATTACCCCCATCCTTTCCAGGGCCCTTAAAACCTTACCCAGGGATTAGATGGCTCCAATCTGTTTCCGACGTGCCCCCACCCAGGGCCTCCCACTGTGGGATTCTCCGGGACAGATAGCCACGTGTCTTCCCCGCCCTCAACTCTATTCAGGGCTCCGCTCAAACACCACCTCCTCAGACAGATCTCCCAATCCTCTGCCTACTGGCACCCCATACACCAGTCCAGCCCCTTGCCCTGCTCTATCTTCTCTATTGCTTTCTCATCACTTATGTGTATTGGCTTATTCATCGGTTATCTGCCTCCCTCGCTGGAATGTGAGCTCCCTGCGGTGAAGGGACACAAGTGCCTGTTTTGTTCACGGCGACACCCTCACGGCAGAGCCTAGCACCCAGAAGGCCCATGAGAAATGTCCGTTATTGCATAAATGCACGTGGGGTTTGCTGTATCCCACCGGGGCCCGATGTGTGAACAGAAGATAAGACTAAGGTTTGGCAGGTTGGCCACAAACAGACTTGGGTTCCAGTCCAGGCTCTGCCCTAACTCGCTAACTGGCTGCAGCATGCTGGGTGAGCCATGCCACTTCCTGAGCCTCAGGGATAACCTCACGGATGTGATGTCCTCGCCTGATAACAGCCCCAGCTCCTGCCCTCACCCAGTCTGGGAAGGGTCGCTCAGGGCTTGCGGGGTCAGGCTAGGCTCCACGCTGGATCTAGGGTTCCAGGCCTGCCTCTCCCCAGGCTGTCCTGCCCGCCTGCCTGCCTTTGTGGGGTGGGGCGGGGTGGGGGGGAAGGAGATTCTCCTGCCCACCGACTCCAGGCTCCCTGCCCCTTGGCAGCCGTGGCCAGCCAGCCCCCAGCCCGTCTCCGCGAAACCTGCTGGGATCCTCCTTCCAGCCTCCCCTCCGCCTCCGCAGCAACCAGCCTGCGCTGCCTGCTTGAGCTGCAGCTGGAGGGACTCAGGGGGGCAGGGAAGCAGGGGTCCTGTCTCCCCCTTCACAGGCTGCTGGGAAAGTCTCCTCGGGTGGAGGTGGAGGCGGGGCAGGGACTGCTCCCTTCAGACCCCTTCCTCCTGCCCTGAGCTGAGACTCACCGATTCTCCTTTCTCTCCCGGGGGCCCGACGTAGCCCCGCTCCCCCTTGATGCCCTGACAAGCAAGCAGAGAGAGAGCTGAATTAGCCCCGTGGCCTGCCCGTCATGGCGCTAATGCGAGGGGTGGAGACTGCAGCTGGCACAGGCTGGCACTTACAGGCAGGTGGCACCAATGACGACGGCAGGGGGAGGAGGAGGGGGGCTGCTTCCCACCCGCCGCTGTGGCCCCCAGTGGAAAGCGGGACCCGCCCACCCAGCAGCCTCCTGCATGGGTTTGGCCTCCCCAGCTCTCCTGCCCACCCCCCCACTCCCCCAGGGGCAGATCTCAGGGCTGGGGTCTGTGTGCTCTGAGAATCTGGCCTTCTGTGTGCAGCGGCTGCAGCAGACTCGCAAAGTGGAGGGGCAGGGCCAAGCTGCACTACCAAAGGGACTTTGGGGACCTCTCCAGGGACAGCCTGGCAGAGGGACAGGCTGGTATGCTTGGAAGGGAGGGAGCTGCTGGGGGATGCCCCAGCCTGGTCCTGTCCTGACCACCATCCCCAGGCTCTGCTACCTCCAGAGCCAGCATCCCCTTACTCACAGGCAGTCCTGGGGGGCCCATGGCACCTGGGTAACCAGGTTGCCCTGGAGGACCCTACAAAGAAAGGTAGACATTATGAACCCCTCCCCGGGCAAAAAGCGTAGCCGTAGCCAGGATGCCTGAGCTGCCAATTCGGGAGGCACACACACCCACCCCAGGACAGCCACCACCTCGGACCAGTTCCCAAAGGCCCAGGTTTCTTTGGTCGAGACCGCCACTGCAAGGCTGGGGCTGGATGACAGGTGCCAGCCTGGCCAGGACCCTGGGAGCTGAGGCAGAGGAAAATGCCCAGAGCAGGGAGGATGAGGACGGGGGGGGGGGGGAGTAGGGTATGGAAGGAACAGCTAAATGCTGCAGGAGGAGGGAGGGAGAAGAGCCCCCAGGATGCTGCTAGAAGCCAGGGGGCAAGTCTGTTTGCCCCTTCCGGGGGGAGTCAAGATACAAGGAGATCAGCCTCCTTTGATCCCCGGGTGGGGGGTGTGAAAACCCCCCAATCTGAGGGATCAGGGGCAGAGAGTTTCAAAAGGAGTCCCCCTCCCATCTTCCACTCATCCCTGGGGGCCCAACTTCTGTCTCCCCAGGGTTCCTGATCCGTCTCCTTCCCCTGTCAGCCCCCTCTTACCGGTTCCCCCTTCTCTCCTGTCAGGCCCCTGAGGCCTCGCTCTCCTTGAAGACCCTTGGGGAGAAAAATCATGAGAACCTACAGGGGAGGGCAGTCCCCACCCAGCCCCCGACTCCTTCTCCTTGCCCTGCAGCCTTCTGTCCCCGGTCCGGGCAGAGTTGGGCTTTCCTGATGCCCTTCCTAGGGTCCCTGGCAAGGTGACCGTGGGGTGTACCCCGGAAGGGTAATTGTGAGAGGTATAAACTCCCTCCTACGGGTGCCTCTCAAGAGCATACCCCCAAGACAGGTAACTACAGAGATATGCACCCCCCCCCCAGGTAGGTGACCCTCAGAGGGTACCTGTCAGGCAGGTGACTGTCATCGGTGTGCCCTATTTTGGTAACTGGCTGGGGTGTACCTTTAGGAGGCTGACACGTGTGTGCTCCCCGTGAGGGGCAGCTGTCGGGAGTGGCGTCCCTACAGTGACGTTCCTCTGCCAAAATGTATCACCGGATACCCAACACTTACCTGTGCGCCCCCCAGCCCCAGCCCCAAATCACCTTCTTTGAGGGGTACAGGGGAGAGGCACGGGAAGGCCCCCCGAGCACACTGCTCCCTCCAGAGCAGTCCCTGTCACTTTTTAGGGTGGAAAGGGATGTCACTTTCAGTCAAAGCCAGAGCCCCCACCCCGACCCTTGTGGGTTCGCCACAGCCTTAAGGGGCTGCGTCTGCCCCTTGTCCCTCACGCCCTCGAGAGACGGTGCCCACACCTTTCCACAACACAAGACAGATGGCTAGACGGACAGATGGCCCCTTCACCCAAGCAAGCAGAAACAGACAAGGTCCGGCCAGGATGAGGACATGGGGACAGATGGAGCTGTGACAGGAGGGGCCCCGCTCCCTGAGCCTCCATCACCAGGCCCGGGAGGAGAGGAGCCAGGCCCCGGGAACACCAAATCTGACAAACAGGAGGTTAGTTTCCGTGACCCAGGAGGGAGCAACAGTGACGATGGGGACGATTTAAACACACTCGTGACGATGACGGAGGCAGGGCAATTAACGACACCTGGCGGGAGGGGCAGGCCAACGCACCGAGCACAGAGGGGCAGGGCCCCACGACACCCAGAAACCCAACCGGCTGGCGTCACCTGCCCAGCCTTGGAGCAGACCGGGCCCGGAGCCAAGGGAGAGGAAAGGAAGAGGAGGAAGCTGAGAGTTTCCTCTAGGACGCTGGGCGAGGTGCGAGCGTGGCTGCCTTCGGATCCCCGGGGCGCCTCTGGACGGCCCTGCCAAGCAGCGGGGTGGCAACCTGTGCCAGCCTGCGATGTGAAGCCCTAAAGCTTTGGCATCTCTGCCGGGCTCTGTGCCAGGCGCCTGGCAGGGCCCCAAGAACTACTTCCAGCAAATCTTCAGCCAACAGCAAAGGTGGGAGAAGCAGGAGGCAGAAGTGGGAAGGGAGGCGTAAAGAGGCCCCTGGAGGCACCGGCTTCAAATAAGAAGGTAAAGCAGGCCTGGGGGTGGGGGGTGGGGGGGCAGTGACGTGGGACTAGGGGAGAGAAAACGGAGACTGCAGGGGAGGCAGGTGGAAGAGAGAAGATGAAAGAAAGCAGGAGCAGGGGGAGAAGGGAAGAGGGAAAGGAGGCAGAGACTTGGGAGGATGTCCAAGCCGCTGGGACCTCAGGGGGAACCTGTGTCGTTACGTGCCTGCAGGGGACGGAGACAAACATGGAGGAGGGGCCAGGCCTCAACAGGAGGGGACACAAGCAAAAGCCACAGAGACCTGGCTGGCGGGGGAAGGGGAGGTCGAGCAGCGCTAGGTTCTTACAGGCAATCCGGGGGAGCCAACAGCACCAGGAAAACCTGGGGGGCCCTGGTGGGAGAAACAGGCAGGTCACAACTCACAAGCACAGTAACCCTGGACATAGTCGGGGGCAGGGGGTCATGGGGAGAGGAGGTCACAGGAATATTTCCAAGGCAGCTGGAAAAGAGACTCAGTGAAGGCAGCCGCTCCTCCCCTCGGCTCCAGGAAGAATGGCTCCGCCGTCGGCAGAGATGAGAAACAGCCCCCAGAGTCCCCCCGAGTCTAGCTGGACACCTTGCTGGAGAGCAAGCCCATCATGCCTGCCACCTGACCTCCATAGGCCCCCGGCCGGGTGGCTCCCTGGTTCTAAGGTGGCTCCCACCAGCCACTTGTTCTCCAAAGAAAGCATTTTCGGTTCTTCCAGACTTTTCCTGGTCACTTCTATTTTCCTGCCATAGCCACACCAGACATCCCTGGTCTGGCCTTCGTAGACCTGTCCTAGAGATGGCCCCACAGAGCAATGCAGCGATGCTGGCCCCTGTAGTGACTGGTGTCACGGAGGCATGAAGAGATCCGGCCAGGTTGCCATACACTTCCCTGGCAGCCGAGACCATGAGCCAGAAGCCTAGGCCTTCCCGCCAGGGCAGCCTGGGTCCGTGGTGCAGGACACTGCGGGGACGGGGACAGGGAGACACGAGTGTGCCCTTGAGGGCCTCCCCTAAGCAGGACCACAGGCAAAGTGGGACGGAGCAGGCCAGTTCCAGGGGATTCGATGGTGGGGGGGCCACAGTCCCCACAGATGCTCTGATGAGGGAAAGGAGTGGGCAGCAGAATTCCCCCTCTTTCTGCCCTGCCCAGTTTCCCGGATACAAGGCAGTAGAATGGTGTCTGGGCGTGGTGACCCCTTTGAGAGCTTCTCAAGTGGGCCAGGAAACCACGGATACTTACAATAGGGCCTGGAGGACCCGGGGAGCCCCTCATGCCAGGCGGACCCTGCAAAGGAAGCCAAGGGAAATGGATGGAGAGGCCCAGGCCCCACCACAGAGCCCCAGGGTCTCTGCAGCCTTCCTCCCAGCTCACCACGGCCAGAGTCAACAGAGGCTGGTAGATTTCAAAGCAGGGCCATTCAGCTGACGTTAAACCTTTCGTTCAGTTCATTCAATCATCCAAAACACACTTACTGAGCAGCTATTATGTCCCAGGCACTAGTCCAGGTGCTGGGGACACAGCAATAAAAGGAACATAAAAATCCCTGCCTTGTGGCACTGACAACTCTAGGGGAGAGGTAGGCAAGAACAAATAGAACAGGGGCTGACTCGTGCTCAGTGGATGTGTGTGGACTGTTCCTAAACGAATGAAGTACACGGTATTCCGAGGGTGACACGTGCACTGCATGAAGGGGACTGGGGTTTCTAGGGACGGTGTGGGGCATGGTCAGCTTTTTGAGAGGGTGGTCAGGGAAGGTCTCCCTGCGAAAGGGATAGTTGAGCAGAGGGGGTCGGGGGGGGGGGGGGGGGGGGGGGGGGGGGGGGACGAGCCCTGGAGAAGAGCTGTGGGCAGAGGAAGCGGCTGGCAGGGGCGGAAGGGTGTCCTACGGGCCAAGAGCAGCCAGCGTGCCACCAGGGCCAGGGGCTCAGAGCCGCAAGAGGCACCGGATGACCCGACGCTCGGAGACCCCTGAAGGAGCCACCGGAGGGCCCAGGAGGACATCTGGCAGGAATGAAACTGCCCCTAGGAAGTGAGGGCCACTTACATGGAGACGCCAGCCCCCTTGGGGCCCTGCCCAGATGAGGGCCTGGTCCTACCTCTTCTCCTCTCTGGCCGGGCAGTCCTGGAGGACCGGGCAGGCCAGGACTTCCAGCACAGCCAGGATCCCCCTCGCCGTTGTCTCCCTGGAGTGGGATGGGGACGGTGAGCTGAGCGGCCAGGGCCCTCCCTGTGGGGCCCGGGGCACGGGCAGGAAGCGGGCACGGGTGCACTCACCCGGGCCTCCTCGGCTCTGGGGCGCTCCCGCTCTATGAAGCACTGAGGACAACAGGAAACCCTCCGTCAGGTGAGGTGGCCGGGTGCTCTCCCCTCACCAGGCCGCCCCTGAACCCGGCCTCCTACCCGGGCACAGCTGTCCAGGCCTGGCACGCCGGGAATGCCCTGGTCTCCCTTCTCCCCTTTTTCCAGGAGCGCCACCGGGTGGGCCGTCCGCCCCTGGACACAGTCCCCGCAGAGGCTCTGACAAGAGAGAGGAGAGGGCAGTGGGGCGTGGGTCCCAGAAGGCCAGGGCGGGCCGAACGGGGGAACCCCACCCTGAACTCAGCCAAGGCGCCCTGCCCGGCAGTCTTCCCCTCCCCCCCCACCCCCCGCCCACACTCTCTCTTTCCCCAGCCACATCCCTGTGGCGGCTCTGTTCCATCCTCAGGGGACCCAATCCCAACACTGGCTTTGAGTTTTCTCCAGGAAGCAGCTCTGTGGGGCCAAGCCAAAGCCACTTTCCAGACAGGCGTGTGGGAGGAGGCGGAGGGGCCCGCAGAGGGACCATCTGTCCCGGCTGTTCCTGCAACCTGCACCCACTGTGAGGACACACCGTGAGGATTCAGGCTGAAAAGGCCGGCCCCAAACACCAGCCTCTCTGCCCAAGGGAGCAAAGGAGCGGCTGCAGGAGCCAGGCCCTCTGCAGACGCCCCGCGGGATGGGGTCTGCCCTCCTGCCCCAGCAGATCCCGACTGGCATGGGCTCCCCGGTTCGCCCACCCCTGGCGGGGGTTGTCCCTGGACCCGTCGTCAGGAGCCCCCCGCTCCACCTTCACTGTTCGCTGCAAAGTCCGGGGATGATGGTTGTCACTGACTCAGCGCCCGTGATGCCAGCCATCAGAATAGGCCTGTGCACATTATCACATTCAACCCTGACAGTGCAATGAGGCAGGTAATCTTATAAGCATTCCGGAGATGAGAAAGCCGATGCTCAAAGAGACAGTGTGACTTGTCTCAGGTAAGTGGGAGCCTGTACTGGGTGCTGCTGTGCTGAGGCCAGAGCTGGCACTCTGTCCACGGGCCCGGGTTTCCTCCGGGGTGGCATCTGAGCCCTTCTCCAGACCACACACGGTTCCGGTTTGGGGTCCTCCACAGAGCACGTTGACTAAGAAGCCGTCAGGTGACATGTTACACAGAGTCGTGCAATCACTTGCCCGGGGGCAGGACTTGGGGGAACCCTGGGCTTGCCGGGAGCCTAAGGGAGAAGAACTGGGGTTTCGCTGCCACACTCCCCTGTGATCAACCTATAGCTGCTGTCAGGAGGTTAACCTGAGTTAACCTCTCAGGAGGTTAACTGCAAGCCGCTTCTGGAGACATCTGCTGTCCAGAGCAAGGGCCGGCCAGGCAGTCCTCATGCTGTGGTCTGACCAGGACCCACGGGGGGAAGTGGGAGGTCCAGGGCACTGGGTAGTCAGTGCTAGAAGGGAGGGGCCCCGGAAGTTGCTGGGCTGGAGGAGAAAAGAGACCAGCCCTCATCTCCACAGGTGACTGAGCGAGGGAGGCCCGCGTCACCCTCGGTCCAGCCCAGCTTGGGAGGCCCGGCCAGAGCCCCCAGTGAGATCCTGATGTCCTGGCACAGGCCAACCCTGCCGGGACCCCAAGTCCCCTCTCTTGTGCCACTGGAATTGTTCCTGAAATCCCATCACCTCCCTGAATTCTTTCTGCATTGACCAGAGGACAGCTGAAGCCTTCTTCCAGGCCCTCAACCCAGTCCCGTCCAAACATATGCGACCTTTGCAGCTCGCTGCCTGATGACCCTTATAACTGCACTTGCACCCCCCTGCTGTGCTCTAGAAGCTGCTGGACCCTGCCCCGGTATGACCAGGGTGGCACAGGGCCTCACTGGTGGCTCCTGTGGGCAGGCTTTGGGGCAGGAACTACCCACAACATCCATCACGTGGGTACCTTCGCGGGATTCCTTCACGCACTCATCCAGCAAGTAAAATGGAGGGTCTGGCAGCAGCCAGGCGCCGTGCTAGGCCCTCGGAGATGGGTGCTTGGAATGCACATTCCCCACAAACAGCTCCGTCTGTAGCTCCCCTGTGCTGTGCTGAGACTTCCTACGATAATCCCCTCAGGAGACTTCCCTGCCAATTCCTACCCCTCCCCGCCTACCCTCTTACCTTAAGGAGGTGCTGTTCAATTGGTAAGGATCCCTGCAAGAGAGGAGACAGGAGGGCTCCAGGGCTCAGGCAGGTGTGGGGAAGGGGGATGGAGACTTATGGGATCAGGTAGAACCTTGGGAAGCCCCGTGCCACCCCGGCTTCCCCCTGCCTTGCACAAGGGAGAGAAGAGGGTCCCCCTGCATCTAAGGGAGCTGGCATGACAAGTCAGCCCCGGGAGGGGCAGGGAAGGGCAGGGAGGGGGCTGCCCAGTGACGCCTGGCTGGGACCTACCAGTTCGGCCGTTAGCCCAGGCTGTCCGGGCAAACCGGTGTTTCCAGGCACTCCCTGCAGCCAAGAAGAGACACGAGTGAGCGGGCTCTTCTTTTGAGCCCGAAGGCCACCCTGCTTCGTGCCCGCCACCCCCACTGCCTCTTCTCTTCCTGCAGAACCGGGGGCCTGGCTGGCATAAGGCTGGCACCCATTCTTAGCTCAAAACCTCCAGACTGTTTGCAGGGAGAGCCGAGGAGGCCCAGAAGGCTGACCCCCAAAACCAGTCCGATGGGAGTTTTTCCTACATGTTAGAGGGACATCAGAAATCAGGCAAAGGGGCTTCTGCACAGTAAGTAACGGCGTTTCTTTCTTGCACACGTGTCCTCTGTATTGTCCTTAATCACGGACTTCCTGGCCAGCTAGGTGCTATCACCTCCAACTTGAAACCAGAGCAACGAATTCAGAGAGGGCAAGTAACTTGCCAAAGGCCACAAGACGAGCAAAATGCAGAGGTGAGGCTCAGAGTCAGGACCACTGCCCTCAACCCCTCCCTTAAGCGTGATTCCAGCACCTTCCTCAAAAGACATTCCCTGGAACACAGCAAGGTGGAGGCTCGGGAGCCAGTTGGTGTGAACCCCAACCACCTGGGTAATTTCTGGAGGGCTACTTGGAAAAAAGAAATCTCTGTGCCTCAGTTTCCTTATCTGTGACACAGGGACAGTTAGTTTATGGTGAGGCATAAAGGAGCTCACACGAGAGCTTTGCCGCCCAGACTCCCTGTCGCCCCTGCAGGCTCGCGGTGCACATTTGCATATTAAATACCCCGTGGAGGCCAGGAGAATGTTCCCTTTTCAATCCCCAGTGCCCGGCACAGAGGAGGCATGCATTAAATACGTGTCAGAGTGAACGCACTGCTGCTCGCCCTGCTCTCCCCGCACCGGGATTTCCTTGGCCCGTCCTGAGAGCTGGCCTGCCTTCAAGTCCCGGCTTCCGGTGACAGAATGCACCGCCTTCCCCGGCGAGCCCGCCCTATTTCAGCCCAGGCTCTAGCGAGGCCCGAGGCAGACTGGGGTCGGCCTACCTCCGGCAACCCCTGTGCCACTCCTTCTGCGTCCTGAGTGAGTTACCAGGGTCATGTGCTAAGGACAGGGCCTGGCGCGGGGAAAACACCTCGAACCCATTCGTGATCATTATGCACCTAAATCATTCACCCCTGCTCCCCTCCCCACTGCCTGTGTGTTACTTCAAGCCGGATACTTGGTGATTTTCTTTCCTTGCCCTCCTGGAACCAGACGTCCCACCTGTTGTCCTACTGTTAGAAGCCAGAAGCTACGCACTCACTAGCTACTAACTGTATGGCCTCGGGCACATTGCTTGACCTCCCTGCCTCAGTTTCCCCCGCTGGGAAACGGATGGGGATTACGTGGGATTACATTACTTGGGCAAATACATGCTGTCTATCTCTGGGCCTGCTTCTGAGCCTGAAGACAGGAGCTGCCGGGCGTCCCTTCCCTGAAAGGGCTGCAGGGCCAACCTGGCCAGGAAGACTTGCACCTTGCCTGGCACGGGGCAGGTGCCTATTAGTGGCAGCTTGGCTTGGTTTACGGCACTGGCACCAGACGAGGACTCCGGTGCCTGGGACCAGACTCTGCAGTCACTCTTTCTGCCTTGTTCCCCCAGCGTGGCTTGGCAGGGTTCACACTCCATCAGTGTGTTAATGGGTCACTTTGAAATGACTCTCATGCTTCCCCAAGCAAACTGCAAAAGACCCCTGCAGACAGATTCCTGTTTCCTGGTGGTGCGGCAGGATGCAGGGACACTTGGCAAATGTGTGGCTGGCCCGTGGGGGACTGAGAGTTGGCTCTGGTGCTGAGCTCTTGATGAGACAGAGAAAATTGGATCCCGGCAGAGACTCCCATCAGCCATGGGGACTCACCAGAACAGATTCTCACCCCAGGGTGGCAGCGGGGGATGTATAAAATCTCCAGGGCAGGGGGAGTCGTTTGTAAGAAGCTTCCATGGGATTCTGCTCTGCTTCCTCAGGAGCTGGGGGCCAGACCTGCAGAAGCCTAGGACCTTCAGGAAATGTGACCTGGTGTGCAAACCCTTGGGGAACCGTCCTGCGGGGCAGCGGCAGGAGGAAGCAAATGTTCTGTCCTGGGAAGCCCTGTCCAGCGCGGCCGGTTCCTAGCTGGGTGACCTCAGACAAGATATTTCACCTCTTGGAGCCTGTTTGCCTCGCTGTGACTTGGGGATAACACCACCTGCCTGTTGGAGTTGATGTAAGACTCAAACGAACGAGAGTACGGGCGTAAGATAATAATAGAAGTCATGGTCCTAATGATGGCTAATGCCTTCTAAGCATTTACTATGTGCTAGGACATATGGTCCCACACATTTCGCGTGCATTAACTTGCTTCACGTTCACAAAAGCCCCATGAGGTACTTGCTGTAATTATCTCCACTTAACAGATGAAGGAACTGAGACACAGAGAGGGTAAGGAATTTGCCCAGCATCACACCACAACTAGCACAGAGCAGGGCTGGCTTTCAAGGTCAGGTTCATTGGCTCTGGAATGCACACTCTCATCACAGTGCCACACGGATCTCCCCTCCCACTGCTCTCCCCTCACTGTCACTGGCCTCCACGCGATTGTCAGGCACAGTCCCGCCTCCGAGCCTTTGCACCTGCTGCTCTCCGCTGTCAGGAACACTCTCCCTCGCTCATTTCCGCTCAGTCTGGATGCCTTCCAACACGCCTCTCCAACATCTTCCTTGCCCTCCTCCCATTTTCTGACCCCACTCCCTGCTTTATCTTTCTCCTTAGCACATACCGCTCTTTTAACATGCTATGTTGTGTTTTATTTTTATCTTGCTTATTGTCTGTGTCTCTTACTAGAATGCACACTCTAAAAGGGGAGGGGTTTTTATTTTTGCCCACTGCTATAGCACCAGCACCTAAAATAGTGTCTGGAAAACAGCAGAGGTGCAAAAAGATTTGTTGCATGAATGAATGTTGGACACCGTTCCAAAACAGGGGAGCTTCACACGGTATATGGAACTATTTGACCCGGATCCTGGGTTCCTGACAGCTGACCAAGGCCTGAGGTTGGCCCGGGTGTCCATAGGGTGTCTGGGCCAGCGCAGAGCAGGGTATTCCCTGCTCAAGAAAGGTCCAGGACTGCCCACCGCCCGTGCTAAGGGCTCAGAGCCTCGCCCCCCACCCCATGCCGCACTGGGGAGCAGGAACACACAGGAGTGAGGATGGCACGCGTCGGTGTCGGGCGGAGATGCGGCCCACTCAGGGGCCCACACAGACCCCGAGCCCTGCCACCCTGCCACCGCGCCTCCTTTACCTGCAGCCCCGGCATTCCAGGGGGTCCAGGGGGTCCAGGAACACCCGGGGGACCCTGAGGGAGAGGAGAAGCAATCAGACCCAAAAGAAAGCTCTGCCCCACCGCTGGGGGCAGCGGCATCACGGTGGGCAAGCCACAGGGCGCTGGCGGACAAGTGGAGACACAGAGGAGACAAGCGACACACACCTGCGGGCCCGGCTGCCAGGAGCTGCCCATCCAAAGTCCCGGAGCACCCTGGGTGGGAGTGGGGGTCGCAAAAGAAGGGAGAGGTTATAGGCAACGTTCACACCAAGCGCAGGGCTGCGTGGGGAGGCAGCTGGCTGGGGCGCAAAGCCCTGCGGGGCCCTCGCATGTTGAGCCAACACAGGAAGCCAGGCCTCTCCCCCCCGGCCGGGGGGAGAGCTCTCAGCATCACTTACCGGCATGCCAGAGAAGATGGGGTCCCCTCGAGAAGGGCAGGAGCACTCCCCTGGCTCGCCCTGAAAAGATAAGAGCCTTTGTCAAAGGGGGGCAAGGATGGGGGACCTTTTGGAAACCAACATCCGGGAGGCAGCACAGGCTCTAAGATGGAGAGGCCAGCGTTTAAATCCAGAATCCGCCTCTTACGACTGTGCCCTTGGGCACCCTGTTCAACCTCTCAAGCCTCAGTCTCTTCATCTGTAAAATGGGCAGCAGAGCACTAAACGCATAGGCCATCAGGAGGATGGAATGGATGAACGCATACAGAGTTCCTGCCCCACGGAAAGCACTCAGCCCTCAAGTTCTAAGCGCTACTGTTAGTCCTGTCGGAATAGTAGCAAGGAGACCAAAATGACTCCTCAGCTCCTGTCTTGGAGTCCACCACCGTGGGCATACATTCCCCCGGGGGTGGGGTGGGGGGCTCTAGGGGTTGTTAATTTCTCCACGGTATTGGCCACAGGGCCTGGGGACTTACCTTCTCTCCCTGAGGTCCCTTTTCACCCTGCAGGGAAGAAACACAGTGAGGTGAGTAGATAGGGGTGTGGAGGCGAGACCTGCTGGGGCTTCCTGCCGCCCTGAGGCACTGTACTCACTGGAATCCCTCTGGCTCCTGGAAGTCCTTGCTGCCCATCAGGGCCCTGAGGGGAGAGAGCCCATGGTCAGTGGTGAGCCAGGACAGTAGCCAGCCATGTGGCCCACCGGCAGGGGAGGGCAATGGGACAAGCAGAAGCCTGCACCCCAGTGCCTGTGTCCTAGAGGAGGGGACTCTGGCGTAGGAGACAAGGAGAGAAAGAAGGAGAAAGACTGGCATTTCCTGAGCACCTTCGGGGGGTCAGACACGGGGCCCAGCACCTGTCGGAGAACAGAGTGGGATCCCCACTCCCATCCCTGCAGGACGGTCCCGTTCTGTTTTCCAGGTGAGAAAACTGAGGTTTAAAGAAACTCTGTGGGGCGCCTGGGTGGCGCAGTCGGTTAAGCGTCCGACTTCAGCCAGGTCACGATCTCGCGGTCCAGGAGTTCGAGCCCCGCGTCAGGCTCTGGGCTGATGGCTCGGAGCCTGGAGCCTGTTTCCGATTCTGTGTCTCCCTCTCTCTCTGCCCCTCCCCCGTTCATGCTCTGTCTCTCTCTGTCCCAAAAATAAATAAACGTTGAAAAAAAATATATAAAGAAACTTTGTAATAGACCCACCAGAATCACTGCACCCAGCTATATGCGGCCCAAAGTCCCTGTTCGCGCCCTCTCTCTCCCCCTTTAGTGCTCGCCACACGTTCCATCACAAAGGTCATCTCAGATGACTTAGCAGGAGGTGGGAATTTCTGCCCTTAGTTTATCACCAAGGATTTGAAGACTCTGAAAGGCCGTCACTGGCCTAAGGTCACACAACTTGCACGGTGTGTGGGGCTGGGACTGGGGGGGGGGGGGCCTCCCGGCTGGGGTTCAGCCTGAGGGAAGAAGATCTGGAGAAGTCTGCCTGGCTGTTCAGGGGCATTCTGATGGCTGCCTTCCTGTGGGACATGCCACCTTCACACACGGGACTCGCAACTCCACGAGAATCGGGACTGTCTTCACTTTTACCTCCGCCTTTACCCAGAGGCTCCCTGGAACAGCCAGGGACCCTGTGTCTGGGCGACACAGACTGGTTGCATGGATGTGGGCGAGTCCCTGGCCCCTCTGGGCTTCAGGGCACCCTCAAGGGGACCCCATCAGTGATATTGCCAAACCGGAACTGGAATTTCTCTAGGGACCCATAAACACAGAAAAGATATCTTTCACTGGGCTGTTTTCAACATTCCCAGAAACCCAAGAGAAATTACACACTTGCCCATGACCTGGCATGGCACAGCCTGGCTGCAAGGTAGCACTGCTTTGATTTAGGCTAGAATTATACCATCTCGTAAAATTCTAGTGGGTTCATGTGGAGTAGACGCTGACTATTATACAGGTATTTGATGAATGAAAATAAGGAAAGGCATTTATTATTACTTAATCTATGCAATTTGTTCAATAGGCACATCTTTTAAAACATGGGAATGAGGGGCGCCTGGGTGGCTCAGTCAGTTCAGCGTCTGACTTCGGCTCAGGTCGTGATCTCATGGTTCGTGAGTTCGAGCCCCGCGTCGGGCTCTGGGCTGACAGCTCAGAGCCTGGATCCTGCCTCGAATTCTGTGTCTCCCTCTTTCTCTGCCCCTCCCCTGCTCACACTCTGTCTCTCTCTCTCTCTCTCTCTCTCAGAAATAAATAAGCATAAAAAAAATAAATAAATAAAACATGGGAATCGTGGGTGGGACAGGAATAAAGAGAGGTCTTTGAGGGTAATGAGGTTGGTCTAGATAGATCTGTGCTGGCCAGTATGGTAGCCAATAGTCGCATGTGCTTATTTAAAATTTAAATGAATTGAAATGAAATGAAATGTAAAATTTAACTCCTCGGTCACACTAGCCACATTTCGAGGGCTTGAAAACCACGTGGCTACCGGCTACCCTCTCGGGCAGAGCAGAATAGAACATTTCTATCATTGTGGACAGCTCTATGGGGCAGCACCCATTTAGATGAGCCCCCAAGGACCAGGCTTTGAAGTGGGGTGGGTGAGTTAACATATGGGCTTTGAGTCAGACAGACCTGGGTTCAAGTCCTGACTCTGCCTGCTCATTCTCTGGCCTTCCGGGGGACAATGATAGCCAGTCCCTTATAGGGCTGTTGTGAGGTTTAAGTGAATCTCTGTTGCTTTAGAGCTCAGCACAAGGCCTCAGCGCAGTCACTGCTCCAGAAATGGTGGTGATCAGTGATGTCATTCAGGTGCCCTCCCCTCCAGACAGTGTGGCTTTCCTTCTCGGAGGCTGAGCCTCTCTCCTCCCCTTCCCCACGCTGTGGGGCCCGGTCAGTCAGCCCTGTGCCCTCTTCCCAGCAGCACCAGCCCGGCCCCAACAGGGCCTCCAGCACAGAGCACAGACAGGACCCTTACCGGAGGCCCAGAGACACTGGCACCAGGGGGCCCCATCGGCCCGGCAGCTCCTTTCAGCCCCGGAGACCCCTGCAGAAGAGAGAGCACAGAGGCTAACGGCGTCAATCGGGCAGGTGAGACCCCTCAGACCAGGTGTTGGGTGGCCCACCGTTGGGCATCACTCACTCCCATGTCCCTGTCCCCCCTGCCACGGCACTCAGAAGCACCGCAGGTCTAGCGCCCTACGAAGCAGAGGCTCACCTTGGCACCTTTCTCTCCGGTGGGGCCAGGTGGTCCCCGAGGTCCCGGAAGCCCCTGCAGACAGAAGGAAGCACAGTTAAGGAACTGGCCCGAAGTGGCCCCTTCCCCCGCCAGACTCCTCTAGGCCAAAAGCAGACGTACCTGAATGCCAGGCAAACCCTGGACTCCAGGTTCCCCCTGCAATTTAGAAAAGACAGACTGGGCCACAGGCCCTGCCCCACTGGCAGACCTGGTCTGGGGTGGGGTATCTGCCAGCCCAAATTCAAGAGAGCTCCCCGGCAAGACCGTGAGGGTCAGAGAGGTGGGGTTCAAAGCCAAGGTCCCCCCCCAGGAGTGATGACAGGCCAGGGCTACAGCCCAGTTCTTCTTCCCAAAGCTGTGCCCTTGAGCACTGGAGGCCAGGCAGAGCCCCATAGTTTTGGGGACAGATAGGAGTGGGCAGATGGTTAATAGAAGTATTGGGAGGCTGGGGGCAGGCAGGCCAAGGGAAGGCTAGAGACTCACCTGCGGCCCCTGGATTCCCCTTCCCGGAGGTCCAGGCTCTCCCTGAAGAGACAGAAGGACAAACCTTGGCTTGGGATTCCCCACTCACCCAATAGCCTCTTCCCCAGCCTCTTCTCCTTTACCCCCGCACCTCCACCTTCTCCCTTCTCTGGGGCTGATCTTCCCCACTCCAGGCCCATGCCCCCCACCGCCAACCCTCACCACACATACCTGCAGCCCAAGCTCCCCGTACACACACCTACCTGGGTGCCCTTCAGTCCTGGGGGCCCTTGAACTCCAGGTAGACCAGGCTGGCCCTAAAAGATACAGGTGGCCCATGGGTCCCACAGGGAAAAGGGTGCAGGTGGGAGAGAAGGCAAAGCTCAGGCAGGGAGAGACCAGAGGGCTGGTAGCGGGAACTCACCGGTTTCCCAGGCCGGCCCACACCTTCTGGGCCCGGCTCTCCTTTGGGGCCCTGCTTCCCAGGCAGTGCTGCTGTGCTCGGCACTGCCCCCTGCAGGCTGGGGCAGGCAGTGCAGTCATCACCCTGGTCAGAGAGAGGCGCAGCCAGCTTTCCTTGAGCCAGGGCTGACAGGCGGGCCAGGAAGAGGCACCGGAAAGAGGGGGGGTCCCTGCGCCCCTCTGAGAGCTCTGCCCCTCCACTGTCCCCACCTCGGTCTGGGAAATCAAAACACGCCCCCGACCCTCCCTGCTCTTCCCCTCCCTGCCTTGCAGAAGAGCTGAGGCATCACCCAGCGATTCCGGTATCCCGCGAGGCTCGCAACCTGACTCCGCAGTCCTTCACCTCATTAGCTCTCAGCCCCATTTCTTTTTGTCCGGGCAACAAAGTGCCCCCTACCCGACTGACCTTTTCTCCTTTCGGGCCCATGGGGCCCCGCACGCCAGGTTCTCCCGACAGTCCCGGCCGCCCCGTGGTGCCTGGCACTCCAGGATCTCCAGGGTTCCCAGCATCACCCTGTAAGGAGCAGGCTTCAAGGAGGGCAGAGGTGGCCCAGCTGGGGGCAGACTGCCTCTTGGGAGCTAAAGGCACTCAGAGCCCTTTGCTGGGGCCTGGGGGCTGCCCAGGGAGTGGAGAGCGGGCACAGGGCGATCAGGAAAAGGAAGTGGAAGGCGCCTCAGAGAGGCGGTGCCCACCCGTGCCCACGAGGCTCTCTCACCTTGTTCCCCTTCGGTCCACGCTCTCCAGCCTTGCCCTGGGGAGAAAGCATTTCTAGTACCCACTCACTCATAGCGGACACCCCTAAGCGTCTGGCACCGTGTTAGACCCAGGGAACTCAACAGGGCACAAAACAGTCCAAAATCTCTTCTCTCGTCCTAGCGAAGCAATGCCGGATGGATTAAGAGAGGAGCCGAGCCAGAGTCCTGTCTGGGTGACCCCCGGCAAGCTGCCTAACCTCTCTGTGACTCGGTTTCCTTACCTGTCAATGGGAATGCTAAGAATGGCGTTGGCTTCTACCCTGCAGTCCTTGTGACATTAGACGAGCTAACGTGTGTGAAGCAGTGTGTGGCACCCAGCATACGCTATGGCAGTGCTCGCTGTGACCAGTAGAGCGAGGACAATAATAATCAGTCCCGTGGTAACCACGGGTCATCCTGAACACCTATCGTATGCCGCGAGGTGCTTCACACACGCGATTCCCAGGCCCTAGGTGTTGGTGATTGCAACACCACCACGCAGAGGAAACAGAGGCACAGAGAGGAGAACAGTAACTTGTTCAAGTCAAAGCGTGAGTGAAAGGCAGAGCTAGAATCTGAACCCAGGCCCGCCTGGTCCCGAGTTGGTGCTCTTTCTTTCGTAGGCCCTGCCAGGCCGGGTCCCAGGATGAAGGGCTGAGGCATCCTCTGGGGACAGAAGCACTGACCCTTCCATCGACTCCCACCTACTCCCCACCATCCAGGGAGCCAAAAGACCCGGGCAGGGTTCGTCCCTTCCTTTGCGCCTCTCCTGCAGCAACCTGGGAGCTCACCTGTTTCCCTGGCAAGCCAAAGCCCGGGGGCCCAGGCTCTCCCTTCTCTCCAGGAGGGCCAGGCAAGGCCACCGCGTAGCTGTCCCCATCCTGAGGCTCGGACAGGGCTGGGCATGGCTCACAAGGCTCCCCCTGCCAAGTGAGGACACAGGGTTGGGGGATACCAGGCCGGGCCTGGAATCGGGGGCTGGGGAACGGAGCCGGGCCTGACACAGCGTCCCTGCTGGGCGAGGGATATCTCAGGAGAGATCGCGGGAGGACAGGCAAGAAATGAAGGTGGGGGCCAAGTCATCAAGGGTCTTGAATGCCATGCTAAGGAATAAGATGTTACCCTCAGGCAGTGGGGAGCCTTGTGGGGATTGAATTAGAGCAAGATAAGTGTGTGTTTAGGAAGTTCACCCTGGCTGCAGAGGGGAGAGTGTCGCCAGACTCACCTTCTCCCCTTTGATGCCTGTGGATCCCACTGGCCCTGGTGGACCCTGTGTGATTAAAAAAAAAAAAAAAGAGGCCACGTGTGAGGCCCAGCACCTGCTTGGGCTATGCTGGGGCACAGTCCAGATCTGTCGTCCCCCCCCCCCAGTAGTAGGTAGCACCTCCCGTCTTCCCCTTTTCCCAAGAGCTGTTGTTTCTAGAGCACTTACCGGCCGGCCAGCTGGCCCTGCCTCCCCAAAATTACCCTGTGCAAAGCAGAGAGCAAAGGGTCAAAGAGAGGGTGCTGGGTCAGTCCCCAGCCACAAACCACAAAAGTTGCTTCTTAGGATGTCTAGACTACCCCTCTCATCTCCTGGCTAGGGAAACTGAGGCCAGGGATTTCCCCAAGGTCCCCAGGAGAGTCTGTGGCATGTTCCCCAGGCTCACTTCACAGAATCCTAGCCCCGCACGCAGCCCTCACCCAGCACACGAAGATCATTAGCTCATTCATTTGTTCACTGGATGCCTACACGGCTGTGCCCCGGGCAAGGTGCTGGTGGGTCGCAGTGAACAGCACGCCCGAACACCTTGTGCAATTTACACACGTGTGGGGGACAAGAAGTAGTTTTTAAGTCACAGTAAGTGTAAACAGCCAGGAGGGCTATGAAGGGCACAGACACAAGGGAGGCCATTTTGGACAGGGTGGTCGGAGAAGTGTTGACCACAATTATTATCAGAAAGACGAGAAGAAGGCCATCCAGCGAAAGAATAGGGGGAGGGGGGAAGAGAGGGAGAACGTACGAGATGGTGGGAGCCACGAGTACAGAATCTAAGAGGTGGGGACATTCCTGGTTCCAGAGCGGAAGGAGGCCAGCACATCCACAGCCCCGGAAACGGAAAGGGAAACGGAGGAGAGCGGAAGAACCGGAAAGGCAGGCAGGGTCCGGCCAGGGTCTTGTTAAGCATAGCAGGACTTTGCTACAGAGTCAATCATGAAGGATTTTAAGCAGGGAAATAATGAAACCCGAGTTCTTTTTGCGAGGGCACGTTATGTTAGCTGCTGGGTGGCAAACGGGCTGTGGATGAGCTACGGTGGCCACAGGCAGGCCAGACAGGGGGGCTGCCACCAGAGTCCAGGTGAGACTGGTCGGGACTCAGATGGCGGTGGCGCTCACAGAGGTGGAGAGGAGTGGGGGGGAAGCTGACAGAGATGCCTGTTGACAGGACTGGGGGAGATGACGTGGGGGAAGGCAGGGATCCAGGCTGCGGCAGGTTTGGGATCTGAGGAGCCAGGGACGTGCCATTTACTGGGACAGAGAAATCTAGAAGAGGAGGCAGCTGTGAAGTGAGGGTACAGGGGCCCCGTCTTGAGAAATGACGGGTGTGGTTTGCCTGACAGAGCAGAGTCCGAACATATATTTTGGTATTTCTCACGCTTGGACACGCATCCACCCGTGGAAGCCCTCATTTGGGTAACACCGCATTATAAGTTCAACGCTGTCATTTGTCCCCAACGCAATCATAACTACAAATGTGAACACGGGCACTGAAATCGAGTAACCCAGCCGAGCAGCGAAGATTACAGACTCTGGAGCCAGATTCCTAGGCTCGGATCCCAGTTCTACACCCGAACACCCATGTGACCTTGGGTAACTGACTTGGCCTTCTATGCCTCTGATTCTTCATCCGTAAAATGACAATAATGGAGTAGCTCCCCCAAAAGGTTTTAGGGGGATGAAACAAGTTAATACGTGCCTAAGCACTTGGAACGGTGCCCGGCACATCGTAAGTGGTAAAGGAGAGGCAAATATTGTTATTTTATTAAAAGGTGGTCTTAAACGTGCTTAATTGTTTTAGATTATCAATAAAATAAACACACAGCACTAAGGAGTTCTCTTGGAGAAGGCAAGGGTCTTCCAAATAAGCTCATTGACTCCAGTCTGCAAAGCACGGATGAATTTATTTCACTGTGGATTTACAGTTTGATCTCTCGTCTGTATCGTCCCTATTCCCTGCCTCCCTGCCAAGAAACCGTGGCGTCACTGACAGCTAACCCAGAGCTCACCTTCTCTCCTTTCAGCCCTGTTGGCCCTGGAGCCCCAACTTTCCCCTGAAAAACAACCAAATCACAGTTAGAGCACCTTCCCACTCCCACCCCTGCAAAACTCCATGGTTCCAGTGTCCCCCCAGAAAGAGAAAGGCCAGCTTGGAATTACGAATGCCACAACTCCAGCGGTAGCTGGGCAGTTACTTCTTTTATGCAGCCGGGCATTTGGAGATTCTAAGAGGGAACTCCGGGGCAAGCAACCCGGGGGGGCGTAGGGGTGGAGGGAGAGACCAGGCTGCAGGCCTGGGACACCTGCCTCAGGGCCTCCTTCCTGGTCTCTGCCTTGAGACTCGGGGGCTGTGGGGCCAGGGAAGCCACCAGTGTGGCAAAGATGGGCTGGTCACTCACCGGAAGGCCGGGCAAACCGAAGCCAGGGAGGCCCATGTCTCCTTTGGCCCCTGTAGAGGGCCCAAGATGCTGGGCCCCTACCGCTAAGCTGCAGGACAAGCAGGAGTCCCCCTGGGGAAGGAAGTGAAAGAATTGGAAAGGTTCCCAGGAGTCAGAGGGGGGCAGCCAGGGGACCAGTGTTGCCTTACCTTCTCTCCTTTGGGACCTTGGATGCCAGGGTCTCCCTGCAGGGGAAAAAGGTTTATTGGCTGAGACTGGGCACGTCGGGGCACCCCAAACTTCCTAGCCATATGCGAGGACAGCAATGGTACATACCACAAACCCTTCAAATACCCAAGGGTCCTGTGGGGTTCAAGATTAGCACCCAGAGCCGGGGCTCATCAACCCATGTAATAGATGGAGGAAATCAGGCCAGGCTAAGCTACCTCACTGGAAAGTTCCTGTACCTACCCTATCACCTTTCCATCCAGCAGATCTCAGGCCCTCCTGAAAGAAAGTGTCAGTGAGGGAGTGGGGTGGGGAGTCAAGGCCAGGACCCGAACCCGCCCCAGCCCACTCCCTTCCTCCACCCCCAACCAATCTCCAATCGCCAGGAGGAGGGCCAGCCTCACTCACTATAAGGGTGGGCTCCACCCCAGCTTGCCCAAAGGGCATCTTAGAGCCTCCTCAAGAACCCCAGGAGGTAGCTGTGGAGACGTGGGTGACCTTCTAGCCCAGTCCTAAACTCTATGGTTCAGCCCCCCTCCCCTCAAGCTAAGAGCAGGGACCCTCTGCCCACAATCTCTCTATGGCCAAGAGATGTACCCAGTCCCTCTGCCAAGTACCCAACTCCTCTTCACAACCACGCCTGCAGGTTGTTGTGGTGCCCCTCAATGGCGCCCCTCCTTGGGCACTCACCTTGGCTGGTGCAGGATCACCTGGTTCCCCCTTGGGCCCTGGTTTTCCAGGGAGCCCTACGAAACTCTGGAACCCTTCAGGCAGCGTTGGGCACACTTCACAGGGGTCACCCTAACAGAAGGGAGAGACCGTGAGCAGACAAGTTGAGGCCGAGACCCCGAGGAAGACAAGGAGCCCTAGACATTGGATGTGCCGGCACCCTACCCCCAACATCAAGGTGGACAGTGGGATCACTGGAGGGGCCTTCTGTTCAACTGACTCATTCACTCCACTTACGGTTCCTGGACATCACAAAACGATATCCTTACAATAAGCCACGAGAAGCCACTGTGTCCCATTTACAGATGTGGAAACTTAGGCGCAGAGGAGCTAATTGACTTGCCACATTCATAAACCATGTGAGCGGCCGAGGCAGGATTCAAACCCTGCTGTCTAACTCCCAAGCCAGGCTCTTGATTTAGTAATTATGCACACACCGTAGGAACAAAGATGGGGTTTGCTAGAGAAGGTCCAGTACCGCTGATGCTCAGAGTGTCGCCTTCAGAGAGGAGATCCCACTCCCACCATGCCCTGGTGCAACCCGGCCTGGGACTCACCTTCTCTCCCTTCAGCCCCGGCACCCCTGGCTTCCCCTGTTGGAGAAGAAGCAGTGAACATCAGTGCCGGGCAGAGGGACTGATAGGCCAAGAGAGGGCCCAAGGACCTAGCCCCCCTCTCTCTGGAGGCCTTGGTAGAGCAGCCCTGGGCATGGTGGGCAACAGCACCCCTTCCCCACCGGACTGGGCTTACTTACAGGTTTCCCACCGGGACCTTCCTTTCCTGGCACTCCCGCGCTGCCCTGCGGTCAGAAGAAGTATTAAGGGGGAGGCTCCTGGCCATGACCTCAGCCCATTCACCCCTCCCCCACTTAGTCCTTTCTCAGACTCCCTCTGTATACCCCTGTATACCCCTTCCCTGGTACAGCAGGTCAAGAGGAATCTAGGTGACGCCAGAGGAACCATAGCAGACAAGACGGTCAGACGTTTCCAGGGCACAAGATCCTAAAATAAGCCCGGGCCCTCTAGTTAAGGCCTCTCTGGTCATTACTAGACTTAGGCCTATCTGTCCCCATGTCTGGAACCCAGGCCAGGGCTCCCATGTCAGCAAGCACTGGGATGGGGACACTCCCCACCGAGGGGCCTGGGATGGGGACACTCCCCACGGAGGGGCCTGGCTGAGTTGAGCCAGCCTCAGCTGAACGCCTGGCTCCTGCCCCCCATGGATGCCTGCTGCCCCTGGACTGCTCTCCTCTCTCCTTCCATCATGCAGCGAGCTCCCCCAAGCGCCCCTGACCCTGCGTGTGCTTACCTTGTCTCCCTTAGGGCCTGGCAGGCCACCCGGGTCCCCCTGAGGGCAGAAAGAGCATCAGCCAGAGGCTTCCTAGGGAGCCCCCACATCACAGTAAGACCAACTCTAGCCCCCTCCTTTCAACCAGGACCCCCAGACCGAGCCTCATCTCCCCAGCCCTGGCCAGGCAGCAGAAGGGTCTCCGAGGAAAGAATAGCAGAAGGGGCAGGAAGTACTCACCGGGGTCCCAGGAAGTCCTATCCCAGGGGCCCCAGGGAGGCCAGGGGGCCCAGGCTCTCCTGCCAGTCCCTCAGGCCCAACAAAGCCAGGGTCTCCCTGGCACAGACAAGGCAGGTATGAGAGAGCCGCCGCCCCAGCCCCACCTCCCACTCTGCATCCCACAGATACCCACAACTCACCTTCTGCCCTTTGGGTCCCATGACGCAGATCTCCCCTGGCCGGCCCTGTGGGGTCGGGGAAGGTGGAAGAAAAGCCTGAGGCCCTGAGGCAGCAGCCCTGCTGAGAAGAGGCCACACCTACCTGCCCACCCTCAGTGCCCCTCTCCAAAGCCAGACTCCATCCCTGTGTCCCAAGGTCATCAGAGGTCAACCTCTGGGCATTAGAGATCAGGGGCTGTTAGGCTGGGAGCCAGGGCTCCTGGGTTCAGGTCCTTTTCTGTCCCCTCTTTGCTCTGCCTCCTGGGGCACAGCCTCCCCCTTTCTGGGGAGCAAGGCTAGCAGGCTGGGTTCTGATGGCAAAATCCAGCATTTCACTGAGAGACACGGGGTTGTGGTGAGGAAGGGTCCCCAGCATCGTACGTCTCGGCCTGGCTTTCCCGGCGAGCCCTTAACGCCTCCATCTCCCTTCTCGCCTTTCTGGCCCTAGGGAAGGAAAAGGCCAAGTGACTGGGGTTGAAAGAAGGGGCCAGAAGAACCAGAGCAGCTCTAGCTGGAGGAAGGACAGTTGCCTTCTGGACCCCTGGTCTCTGCCTCCCCTGAGACGGAATGGCTTCAGTCACTACAGGAAAGTAGACGACAGAAAGAACTTTCGAACCAGCCAGGCCACTCTCGGGGAGTCTATGGCATTGCCCTCTGGGTCTGGTGGGAACTTGGACAGGACAGGGTGACTGGGAGGGAGAGTGAGTAGTGCCAGCTCTGTGCCTTTCATAGGGTTGGTGGCCTCCTTCCTCTGGGAAGATTCCAGACATCTCTTTCTTCAAGTCTACAAGGCCCACGCACCTCCCTGCCACCCACCCCTCCAAATCCACGCCTATTACCTTCTGGCCTGTAGAGCCCGGAAGTCCTGAGGGTCCCTGAGGTAAGGCGGGGACACAAAAGAACAGGTGAGGGAAGGCGGGCGAGGCTGGGCCAGAACCCCCCTGCCCTGCCCTATCCCTGGTCCCACACTCACCAAGGCTCCTGACTCTCCCTTCTCTCCCTTCGGGCCTTCTGCACACTGAGCAGGGAGATAAGGCGTTGAGAGGGTCCCGGGGTCACCCTGTGGCCTTCCCCGGGGGCTGACCCCATAGTGGTCTTGAAGTAGGCCTTGCCTCCAGGTCTTACCTGAAGCGGGGCATCCGGGGAGATCCGGACACAGTCACTGCCCTGTGGGTAGGGAACAAGGGATCAGGGGTGGGACCCTGTTCTGAGAAGGTTGGGCTCAAGAATCCCGCAGTCCCAGCAGTCATTTTCTAAGGACCCCTAAAAACTAGACATTTCCCCATACTAACTCCTAGAAAGACCCTACCCCTCCGCCCCCGTGTGGGCTGGGCTGCAGGGTTTTTTGGCTGAGCCGTCGGGGGACAGTTCACACGCCAGGCCAGCCTCAAGGCACGGCCGGGGAGGGCCCCCCCGCGGTGGGCCCGGCTGGGGCACTTACCCGGGCTCCCTTCTCTCCCTTGGGGCCTGACGGGCCAGGAAGGCCTCGCTCACCTCTCCCTCCCTGTGGACGAGATCAAATCGGGGGCTGGGACCAGAGGGACCACATGGGAGACTTGAGGAAGCTCTCCCAGTCTGAATTCTCTACACATCGACCACACAAGGGTGTTTAAGTGAGCACACTACCCCCCAACCCCCAACCGTGCACGCAGCATATGGATTCCATATGCATTCGTCCATATGGCCCTCCCACCCCAAGAGGCTATATTTGGCAAATGTAGAGTCTCACACAGAGGGTACTCCCCCCACGCCCCTACTCAAGCACGCAAGCTCGCACGCAGCCCGCCCGGGGCCACATGGACGCATGTGCGTGGACACGCACACGTAGAATGACAGAGCCGGTGATGGCGAGAGTCAGGCCCCCTCGGTTCAAATCCTGCCCCCGCCACCTACTGGCACGTGACTCAGGGCAAGTCGCAAGTCACCTCTCTGAGCCTTAGGGTCTTTAACGACAAAAAGGGATTCCGGGGGCCGTGGCAAGGACGGAATACGACACCACAGGCCAGGTGCTCAGCGCGGGGCCTGGCACTCACTGGGCCCTCACACGAAGGCGGCCCCCGGAAGTTGTGCTACATACTCTCCGGCTCGCACCAGCACGCTGTCGCACCTTCACGCGTGCACGGCCTGTCCCGTCGCTCACAAGCCGCACGGGGCTGTCGGGCCTACGGGCACACGGGCTCGCTCTCCCCGTCACAGCGGGCCACGCACAGGAGAACATGTGTCCCAGGAAGCACGTCGCCAGACCCCCACACGATCACTCTGACACCCCCAGTCCCACACAGGGGCACAGCTGGGTCTCACTCAGTGTTTTCTGAAGCAAAATGATAGGACCTGTCCCCACTGGATGCTTGAGGAGGCAGGAAGGCAAGTGTGCACAAGTGAGGCCCAGAGCCCGATGCCAGGAGGAGCCAGAAAAGGGGAGCTCATCACATCCTTACACACGTGCACAACCTCCTACTCTCTCCAACACACACACACACACACACACCCACACACACACACACTCACCTCCCACACACATAGGGTTGGGTAGCCCTAATATAAACACACAGCCACGGGGTCACATGCTGTGAGACAGGCTGGGACTGCCAAAGAGGGCAAGAGTGTCCTGTTCTCCATCTTGGACTCACCTTGGGTCCAGAAGGACCAGTTGTGACCTGGATGGGGGGTGGGGAGGCAAAGAGAACATTATACCGAAGCGATGGAAAGAAGACCGAGGGCACAGAGAAGGCAGGCCATTAAGCCAGGGCCACACAGCATTGTGGCTGCACCAACAACAGCCTGAATTCCAGCCCCTGCTCTGCTTCCCAGGCCAAGCACCACGCCGACTTTATATCCCAAGGCTGTCAGACTTGCAGAGGGGTCTAACCTACCTTCTCTAAACTGCCTGACTTTGGCTAGCTCCACCCCCTAGTTGTTAGGATTGCACAGCTGCGCGGTTGCCATGGTAACTCCTGCATACCTGGGGACCATCAGCCTCACCGGATTCGGTGGGGGGGGGGGGGGGGGGGGGGGCTAGATGGAAAGAAGGCCAGGCAGCAGAGGGGGTACTTCCTGATGTCCCCCGAGATCAGGGGGCTTGGAGCCAAGGGCAGCCGGGATTATGCCATTCGTGGACCAACGTGGTACGTCAATTCAGGATGTCAGGCCGTGGGAAAGTAATGACTCACGCTACCCACAGAGGAAGCACAGTTGGGTACCAGCTGTGCTCTCACTGAGCCCCTCTCCCTTGTCTTTCTAGACCCCCAGAGGGAGGCTGGACCAGAGCCAGCTGGAGAGGGATAGGAGGGGGGTCCGGAGTCAACATGTGTTTGGGCACCAGTGCCGGGCTGTGTCACCCTGAGTCAGCCTTCCCCTACTCGAGGCCTCCAAGGTGACGTAGGAAGCCTTCAAGCAGAACGGCCCTGAGTCCTCGTGGGGGAACGGAAAGCTGGGATCATCAACCAAGGTCCTAATCCCACCAGTCACCACCCTGTCCCCAGTGCATTGCCCAGATCACAAGCCGTGAGGCTTCCTTCCGTGCAGCCCTTGGTGGGGCTGGGGTGGGCGTCAAGGCCAGCTCTGGGGGATGGGCAGGGAGGCGGTGTGATAAGAGCACAAAGACCCCCTTGTGCTTAACCAGGAAGCTACCAGGCCAACCTCTAACCCACTCCCAGCCCCCGCCC